AGGAGGGAATCCCAAGCAGGCTCGCCATTGTGAGCAAAGAGCCAGACACAAGGCTTGAACTCATGAAACCTTGAGATCATGACCTGAATTAAAACTGAGAGTTGGATGCTTAACCTAATGAGCCACCCAGGCACCCCTGTTTTGTCCTGTTTTTTAAACAGACTTTATTTTTTAGGTTCAGAGAAAGACTGAGCAGCAATGATAGAGTTCCCATTTAATCCCTGCCTGCATACACACAGCCTCCCCTACTATCAACACCCCTGACCAGAGTGATACAATGAAGAACCTACACTGACACACCATCACCCAAAGTCCACAGTTTACCTTACTTAGTGCTCTGTCTTGGTTTGTATATTCCGTAGGTTTTGACAATTGTACAATGACATGCATCTGCCATTATGATATCATACAGAACAGTTTCACTGCCCTAAAAATCATTTGTGCTCTGCCTGTTCACTCCTCCTTCTCCACAACCTCTGGTAACCACTGATGGTTTTACAGTCTCCACACTTCTTCCCTTTCTAGAATGTCATGCAGGTGGAATTATACAGTACATAACCTTTCCAGATTGAGTCTCTTTGACTTAATAATATGTATTTAAAGTTCCTCCAGATCTTTTCATGGCTTGATAGCTCATTTATTTTTGCCACTGAATAAAATAATACCCCATTGTCTGGATGTACCACAGTTTGACCATTCATTTACTGAAGGACATCTTGGTTGCTTCCAAGTTTTGGAACTTACGAATAAAAATGATATAACCTTCTGCGTGCAGGTTTCTGTGTGGACATAAATTTTCAACTTCTCTCAGTAAATACCAAGGAGTGTGATTGCTGGATCATATAGTAAGAATATGTTTAGTTTTGCAAGAAGCTGCCAAACTGCCTTCCAAAGATCCATTTTGTGATCAATGACAGTATCTGCTGCTTCCCATTCTTGCCAGCAATGGGTGTTGGCAGTGTTTTGTACTTTGGCCACTCTATTAAGTGTGTAGTAGATCTTGCTGTTGTTTTTCCAATTCCTTAATGATTTATGATGTGGAGTGTCTTGTTATATGCCTATCTGCCATCTTTATATCTTCTCTGGTGAGGTGTCTGTTTAGGTCTTTGGCTCATCTTTTAACTAATTTATTTTCTTATTGCTGAGTTTTAAAAATTCTTTGTATACTTTGGACAATAGTGCTTTACCAGATATGCCTTGTACAAATACTTTCTCCCAGGCTGTGGCTTGTCTTCTCATTCTCTTGACATTGTTGTTCACAGAGCAGGACGTTCTGTTTTATTTCAGTGAGGTCCAGCTTATCAAATCTTCCTTTCCTGGACTAGGTCTTTGGTGTTATACCTCAAAAGCCATCACCATATCCAAGGTCATCTAGATATTCTCTTACATTATCTTCCAGGAGCTTTATAATTTTGCATTTTATATTTAGTCATGTGATTCATTTTGAGTTAATTTTGAAGAATGTAAGGTCTGTGTCTAGAATCAATTTTGTGTATGTGGATATTCAGTTATATTAAGATTTTATTTATTTATTTATTTATTTATTTATTTATTTATTGTGACCTATGCCTTTTGTGATAAAAACTGTGAATGTTTGTGAGTGTCTGGATGGCAACCAACACTTGATTTGGCTGAGGTCATGATCCCATGGTTTGTGAGTTCAAGCCCCGCATTGGGCTCTGCACTGACAGTGTGGAGCTTTTTTGGGATTCTCTATCTCTACTCCTCTCCTCCAAAAAATAAATAAATAAATAAAATAAGAACTTGTTAAAGTTTCATTGCATTTATTTTTATTTTTTTAAGTTTTTAAAATTTATTTTGAGAGATATATAGAGAGCAAGTGGGGAGGGGCAAAGAAAGGGGGAAACAGAATACCAAGCAGGCTCCTCATGCTGTTAGCATGGGGCTTGAAGTCACGAACCATGAGATCACCACCCGAGCCAAAATCAAAACTTGGATGCTTAACAGACTGAACCACCCAGGAGTCCCACATTTATTTTTAAAATGCATTGCAAAGTTAACAATAGCAACAGCCATCAAGGCCAGATCATCAAAAATCATTAACTTCAACATTTATGAAAAGAATACCCTTTCAGGTTTCCAGGGTTGCTAAATTAGTTAAGTGTCTGACTCTTGATTTTGGCTCAGGCCATGATCTCATGGTTTTGTGAGATCGAGCCCAACGTGGGGCTCTATGCTGACAGCGTGGTGTATGGTTGGGATTCTCTCTCCCTCTCTCTTTGCCCCTCCCCTGTTCACTAGCACATATGCATGCATACATGTGCGCCCTCTCTCTCTGAAAATAAACTTAAAAAAAAAAGAACATGCTTTATAAAAGCATCAAATATATGACAGAACACTTTTATAGGAACCAGAAGAAACATTTCCCTATTACATTTTAAATTACATATTACTAGAAAAATAGTGAATAGTGATTTCACTATTAACTTGGGTAGTATTAGTAATTATTAATCAGACAAATTTACACCTACACCTAAACCGACAAAATGCTGTCTGTAAATAGGATGGCAAGGTTCCTACAGTAAAACCCAAGCCACTGCTTTACAGAAATACTGAGAGAAAGGAAAGTAAGGAAATGAAATATGCAGCATGCTCATTCAGCCTCTAATTTAATAATTTATATATCTTAGAAGGTAAACATCTATCCTTTAAATGTGAAAAATGCACCTTTATCATAAAAAGATATGTGGTGTGTGTTATGCCCAGAATTCGTGATCCCCAAAGACCACTAGGGAGCCGAGTCCGATGCAAAAGCAAAAGAGCCTTTATTCGAGCTAGCTCGAGCTCAATCCCCTACCTGCACCAACGCAGCGGTGAGATACCGAGATACCGGGGAGAGAGAGCGAGTTTCAAAAGGACAAAGGTTTTATTGGGGCCTAGGGGCAGTTGGTGAGGTAATGGCTGTGGCCTCAGCCGATTGGCTGGGGAAGGGTCCGAGTCCTGTTAGGCAGGTGAGGGAGGGGGTTACTCAAGGGGAGGAGGTGTGGTCAAGGTGAAGGACACAGAACAAGATGGAGTCGGCCAGCGTAGGCCCGCCCTTTCAGTGTGAAGGGTTAAGAGTTATTGTCTGATATTGTGATACATTAAATGTCTTTTCCTCAATAAGCAAGTAATATCCTTTTCACCATTCTTAGGATGAAAAGTTAAAAGCTGTGGTGAGTGTGTGTGTGTGCACTCACATGCTCCCATGTGCATACACATGCTCTTTTTCCATGTATGTGATGAGGCAAATACAGAATTTTTTTCCAAGACTTTGAGAAATGCCTATTTATACATCTTCCCAAATCAAGCACATGATGAAATCCATGGGGCACTTGGAGGGCTCAGTTAAGCATCTGACTTCAGCCCAGGTGAGGATATCACAGTTTGTGAGTTACAGCCCTGCACTGGGCTCTGTGCTGACAGCTCAGAGCCTAAAGCCTGTTTCAGATTCTATGTCTCCTTCACTCTCTCTGACCCTCTCCCACTCATGCTTACTCTCTCTCTGTCTCTCAAAAATAAATAAACATTAATTTTTTTAAAAAATAAGCAATACACCCAGAAATGAGAGGAACAAAAATCACTGGCAAAAACAAAAACAAAAACAAAACCAAAAACATGATATAGAAGAGAGTTAAGTATATGTGTGGAAAAGTTACATTGATTAAAGGATTTTTTTAATGTTTATTTTTGAGAGTCAGAGACAGAGTGTGAGCAAGGAAGGGTCAGAGAGTGAGTGAGTGAGTGGGAGAGAGAGAGAGAGAGAGAGAGAGAGAGACAGACAGACAGACAGCATCCGAAGCAGGCTCCAGGCTCTGAGCTGTCAGCACAGAGCCTGATGTGGGGCTCAAACTCACCAACCATGAGATCATGACCTGAGCCAAAGTCAGACGCTCAACCGACTGAACCATCCAGGCGCCCCGAAGAAGTTAAACTGATTAAAGTTTTCGTGCTCCATGCACACATTATTTCAATAATTTGCCCATATTTTCTCTTTTCTATCCTAGGTATATTATTAAAATAAGCAGATTTCCCTTTTCTCTTTCCTTTCAACCCCTGATCCATTTTCCAGTCCCCCAGTGATTCCATGTCAGCATGCTGTTTTTAACTAGACAAATAGTACACAGATTTATTCCTACAGAAACAATCTCTGGTAAAATCGTAGAGGGTCTGCTTGAATAATACCCAAAAGTTAACTGTGTGCTTTCCATTGGCCAGAAATAACTCACAGAAAATGAATCCACAAAGCAGTCAATGGAATAGTATAACCCTCTTAGGGGAGCCATTGTACTATTAGAAAAATCTGGTAGACAACCAGCCTTCATTTTGCACGCACACACACACACACACACACACACACACACACACATACACACAGTACTGTGTTTGGTATAAACTCTGGTAAGAATAAGTCAGACTATTGATCTGTGAAAAGTTTTCATATGAAGTCACATAATGTTATCTTAATATTCTTTTCATCTACACTGTATCATGGTGGTAACATCTGACATCCATTTACTGCAGTTGTAACAATGATAATGAACTGGATTGCAGTATTCTAAAAGGAGAATGAACTCTTACACATAAATTGACATGCATTGGAAAGTTGTTATATGGATAACATGGAATAATATGGAAAATTGGTAATAATGGATGTGTGTCTCTTAAACTTCATCCCAGAATTTATTTCAGGGGAAGAAAAATCTCACACTTTCAGTGCATACAGGATTCTGTATTTCTGATATTAACTATAAACATTAATCTGACAAATTTCTTTTACTAAAGTCACGTTGGAATTTGGTGGCAGGGTTAACACTAAAGGTATGAAAAATGAAGATGAAAATGAAATTTTTAGAAATAAAACTCTATTTGTCACATGGGAAAAATCATTAACTTTTCAAGTAAGAATGTTTGACTATTGTTATATCATGGTTCTGCCAACGTGAAGATTCATGGTTTTATGCTGGCATGTTGTGTTCTAATTTTTGTGTTATTTTTAGGCATTCACACGCTTTTGAAACTTTCTATGAACGGACTTGGATCTAATGTCCCTGAAAACAAAGAAAGGTGATTTTTATGAAGGAAATCAGTACACAATTAAAAATGGGGACACATTCTCCATTTGCATCAATCCAATTTAAGTATGTCCCTTAAAAGAAAATGTCATTAAGAAGTAACAGTATTCTAGTGCAGGGATTTGGAAAATCTTTTCCCCTTCCAAAATGATATTGGAGGGAATTTCCAGACCTTTATTCCCTATTACACTTGACAGCTTTGTATCTTATCACCTCAAATTCCAATGTTTCCTAGCATATCTACACACTTAAACACAAACACACTAACTACTATATCTACATTGTGTTCTCTTTTGTCCCAGTCACATTTCTTACTTCATCTAATTTACAGATGGTTAGATTTTTTTTTTCTCCTAATTCTGGGCAAGAGGCAGGATTTATCATGTCCGGACTGAGTGTGAAAAAGGGCAGAATGAAGGTGAAGAGAACATACCCACGCCTGGCACTCCTGTATGTCCCTATATTCTTAATGGGTAAGACAAATTAAAAAAAAGAAGATCAGAAGAAGATAAAAATGGAACTCCCCCTACACATCCCTTTCTCTGCATTTGTTAATAAGTATGAAGATTTTTTTAAATATCAGTGGTCTTCTGTGGGCTTCTGCGTTCTCCTTCAAAGACAGGACAGCAAAAAGATGTAGTTGACTTCATTCTGTTCACGGAAGGAAACAGAATTAGAGTCTGGTGGGAGCAGGCAAAGCCAGGAGAGAGGGTAATCATGAGGCCAAATTCATGCCTCAAAGGAACACAAAAAGGATAAAAGTAAGATTCCTGGACAACGAACTGTGCTCCTAGTAGAGCCTTTTTCCCAGTCCACATTTCCACTTCTTCCCCAGCCCGTGCATACCCCTTATCCCAGATGTAGTGCTACCAGCAATAGCTTAGAACTCGTGATATGCCAAACACTGCAACCAGGCAATGTGTTCATATTCCAGTGTCAGGGCTGGGGTGTGAGTGTGGTCACTGAGAACAGAATTTTGACTGAATATTTGTTTTGTTTGTTTGTTTGTTTGATTTTTTACAGTGTTCTTTATGCACGATACCTAGGCTAAACAGAACACTGTGGGTCTTAATGGAAATACAACCATCACTGACAACACTGTTTTATTCATTTGCTCAATAAATATTCATTAAAGCATTGTAAGGATGTATTCCAACTTGCCAGCAAAAGAGAATAAAAGGTTTCTTAAAGGACCACACGTTTCTTAAATTGGTGATTATCTGAATATGGGTGGGATTAAAATGTGTATTTCAAATTTATTAACTTTTCAACTTAGATAAAGGCTTAATGTTCACTTCCACAAAATGACAAAAGAATGAATTTCAATTATTTTAATCACCATAATTTATTTACTATGACTTCTCCAATTAGATGTGTTGGTTGAAGTCTTCTTACTTGTAAAGCATATATAATTTATATCCTAATTATTATTATTTTTTTTAAGTAGGCTTCATTCCCAGCATGGAGCCCAGTGCAGGGCTTGAACTCACAACCTGGAGATCAAGATCTGACCTAAGAGTCAGACACTTAACAAAATGAGCCACTCAGGTGCCCCTATACCCTAATTACTAAGACAACAGATTCCCTCTTTGTCTCTATCTATGTAGATAGATAGATAGATATACACAGACCAGATCTCTCTATAGATCTAAGCTTACACATAGAGAATAGGCAGAAACAGAGATATCTCTATCTTGTAACTAATACATATCTTATATATAATATATGTCTTATACCTTATATCTAAAGATATCTATCTTTCTAGAGATAGAGAACCTTTCATTTTTCTTAAGAATTAGGACACACACACACACACACACACACACCCTTAGCAATAGGGGTATAGGGGTGTGTGTGTGTGTGTGTGTGTGTGTGTGTACACATCTATCACCTCAAAAAGGAATACAAACAGGGAGAGTACTAAAGATTTCTGCCAAAAAAAATAATAAATAGAAAATGACATGATCTGAAAGGTACTTTCTCCCTATACAATTTTCATAAGATTTTAAATTCATAAAATACCTTCCTAATTTGAAGAAAGTAATACCGTTTTTGAGAAAGACACAACACCAAAAAATTTATTTCTGAGTCCAGCTTCAGATACAGGGAAATATTAAGAAAAATTTTACTGCTAATCACACAAAATTAACTTTCACATCTATAATAAGTACCACATGATATTTAAAAATCTCTACACTACCAAAGAAATAGAACGTTATAATATTTAATGTTATTTAGCATTAAAGTTTATTTTTTCTCAACGCATTTTTTAATTGAAAACACTTTTAAGAAGAAAGGAATGAATTAAGGAAAAATAATATTGAGATAGTTGAAGAACTACAGTGGGCGTTGGAAGCAATAAGCTGAATTTCTGACTTCTCATCAATTTCTAATCAATTGTTTTGACTTTAGATATCTGAATACACAATATTTTAACATGAAAGAGTTTAGTTTAAAAGTGTTTTGCATTTCTCATAACACCTTAAAATATAACATTTATATCTGTAATATGTACTTGATACACTGAACTGCAGAAAAATATTTTCTTGAACTCATTAAGGTGAGCATAAAAGGCTTTCATTTTGACAACTTCTATCCACAAAATTATCATCAAAATTGGAGGTATTTAACAGTGTGATACGAGCCTAGCCTATCGTTTACAAAGTAATAACCTGGCTATCATATAATCTTAACTACTTTCATTTAGTAAAAAAAGGCTCTTTTCTTGAAAATGATATTTACTTTGAGAACCAGTTTCTAAACAATTGCATTTTCCCATATAATTTAATTTATTCAGATACTTATTTCCAATTTTCTTTTCCATAAGTAGAATATTTATTGTTTTAAATAGTGTTTCTAGAAAAACAAATTAGCTTTAAAAGACCCATAAATGGACATTCTTAGGTGACAGATGAGCCCTACTAACTGTGTAATCCTTTGAACAAAGACATTTTGCTAATTATTGTATGTGCACATTATTTTAAAATTTATATTTTAAACACAGAATACAAACCAATAGGCTGTAATTTTTCAAGATAATTACATGTTAAAATATAATAACAGTATATCTAGGAAAAAAAACTTCTAAGAAGTGTTTTATTATTGTTGTTGTTGTTATGAAATGATCCATAATATGGAGGTGTGGAAAACCCCTATTTTTCCAGTGGCCAGATGTTTTGAACCTGTGTTGACTGAACCATAAAAATGGCTGACTCTACCACTAAGGAAATTAAACCTGAAAGATATATTTCCTTGTTTTGTTCCTCTTGTTTTTTTCCTCTGAATTACTTGTTTTTGCTACAAACTTCAGAATCCTTTCTCTTATACTACAAAATTATGTATTAACCTCTCAAGTATGTGAACAAGATAGTCTAATCAGTTATGTGGCTGAAAAGTGATAAAAAAAGAATGCTGCGCCATTATTTATTATTATTATTATTATTATTATTATTATTATTATTACTTAGCCCTGCATGATTTTAAAAGTTTAGATGTTCTAGAAAGGAAAAGTTGCACTGGGAACAAAATATACTTAGATGTACAGACAAGAAAGGCCATGTTTCCTAAAAAGACTCTACTTCCCACACTTGTATGATCTACCACTGAAACCCAGAAGTAGGGAAAAATACAAAAACAAAAAACAACTTAAAAAAGAAAAACTGGAAAATGTGCTTAAGTGTTGGAGAAGTTAGAGTCTGTCAGGAACTGACCAGACTTAGATATCTTAATTACCAGGAGTAACATTCCAACAAAAGTACTTGACAAAGTACAATGACATTTCTGATAATTACCTGGAAAAATCAATTCTTGGTATGTTTAATACCTAAGAACATTCCTCCAATAGATTCAGCTTAATATGAAATTGGCTTTTGAAATTCTGAGAGGGCTGCAATGATGTATTCATCTGTGACACTAAAACACACCCTGTCAGCGCCATCTATCAGTTGCAATTTAAACTACAATGGAAAAAGACTAAATGCCTCTGACTGAAAACTACCAAAATAATTTCTTAAACCATGTAATATGTAGTTGTGTGTAATATGAAACATTTTCTTTTGAACTCATCATTTTATATTTTTTCTATGGCTTCATAATAAATGATGTAGGTAGTTTCCAGTTAGTCAAAAGTATGTAGTCACATAATCCATGAATATATAGAGTCACATGTCACACAAAAATAGTTTCCTAGACTAATTACTATTCAAAAATTCAATTATTTTCATCACAACCAACATTTTCTCCAGGACAATCACAGTTTGATCACATCTTTCTAACCGTGTTGGTTTGTCATGCAGTGAATATTCTATGTATCATTGGCTTTCTCTAGGGTCTAAATAAATCCTATCTGCTATGCTAGTACAGATATGAGCCCGACATTTAAAGGCACAAAAGGTTAGTCTTTATTTTTCTCTTGTGGTACTTGAAAATAAGTGAAATGAAACTTATTACTAAATCATTAAAGCATTATTACAAGATGTTTTCATACAGTTACTTGGTTTTGAGCCTGTGGAATGGGAAGCACAATATGGTAAATTGTGCCTTGAAGCCCTTGCTTTAGTTAAAACACATTAAACTCGGTCATGGGCATGTGGTATACATAGGATTTTCTTTCCAAAACTAACAGTCAATTGGCTCCTTTCTCATTTCCTTCTCTCCTTGTCGTCTTCTTCCTCTTTCTCCTCCTCTTCTGACAGAAGCAGAGAAATTATTGGAACGTTTTGAAATAAATGTCCTTTTGGGGCCCAACATGTCTCTCTTTTCACTACACAATTAGAAAAGCAGAAGAGGCTATACAAACTCGAGAACCACTCCAAACTGTGAGGTCGAAGGGTAAGCAAGTTTCCAAGATGAACCACAAATGCTTCCCCATGGGTAATCGAATTGGCTTTGGCACTTGAATATACTTGAAAGATTGAAAAAGATAATTTTCTTATAAGCATAAACAATAAAAAGTTGTACACATGAGTTACTTGCCTCAAGGTATTTCTTCTTTCATATATAATGTCCATTATGTATTACAAATGAAATGAATGAAAAGAATACATGTTGGATCATAAAGCTGTATTTGGTTGACTTCTTCTTTAAAAACTTTATAAAGAAGTTTAAAGGCCCACAAATAATGTTCCAATTGTTTTCCTTTTAGAAAAAAAGGAGTATTCAGTTTGCACTTGTCCAGACCTCAGCCATATAAAGGCCTTTTCCTTTTTGAAAAGGAAGCTTTTTATACCCTTGGTTGACTTCACAAAAAACAATCTGGGACGCAAATGTAGGCAATTTAAACTAGTCATATGAGTGAAAATCTCTCTGTCTTCATCTCACTCAAAATATTACCTAAATGTAATCTGAACCATTTAGAGTAGCTCTACTTAAATCGTGTTATGTTTTCAGTAGTAAAGACTGATAACTTGATAGTTCCCAAGGGTTTGATTCTTACAGTTTAAGTACAGAGTTGACATTGCAAGCTATTTTCTGAAAATCCCCAGGGCTATGTTAGAGATGAGATAAGTAAAGATGTACAGAGTGGTTTAAAAATTTGTGGGTATCTTCAAACCCAGTACTATTAGTCAACTTCCCTAAAGATTTATTCATTCTCACATAAATATCATCTTTTAATTGGTAATTAAAAGAGATAATGAAAATCTGGCTTCAAAGTTCTAAATATTTATATATGTATATATTAATTGTACTTGAATACACCATTAAAAAACATTTCGTAGGTATTATTTTTCTAGAGGTTCTCAGATTATTTTTTCATTCTCCAACATAGAATTAGATTTTCATTACCAGAAAGGATCTCAGTTCAGGCCATCGTAATTTATCCTCTGGAGTATGGTTCCCCTTCTTATCTATGTTGCTAACCTCGGTCTCACCATTCTTCCATTTATCCTTTCCACAGTTATTAGATTGATCTTTCTAAGGTGTTTACTACACCATCACTGCATAAAAATACAAGCTGGTCCTCAACAATGGTCTCTCATGATGACATTTCATATCCTTACTTCTCTATCTCAAACCCGAACTCAGCTACACTGATCAATGACTGTTATTTTATTTTATTTTATTTTATTTTATTTTATTATTTTATTTTATTTTAAAGAGAGAGTGTGAGCGGGAGAGAGCAGGTGGGGGAGAGAGATGGGGGAAGGGAGGGAGAGAGAGGGAGAGGGAGGGAGAGAGAGGGAGAGGGAGGGAGAGAGAGAATCTCAAGCAGGCTCCATGCTCAGCATGGAGCCCGACTTGAATCCCAATCCCACAAATCTGGGATCATGAGCTGAGCTGAAATCAAGAGCCAGACGCTCAACCAACTGAGCCACCCAAGCACCCCAACAGTTCTTTTAAAGATCTTGAGTTTGCATACACACACTCTTTCCCCCACGCAGTCCTATCCAAAATCTCGTATGTTTAGAGCATCCTCACTCATATTTTAGTACCTACTAAAACGAGTTTATGAGAATCTTTATTGACCTCTTGAACCCCTCTATCAGAATGCATGCCTGATTCATTTAGTAACCCTAGCACTGGATAATGCCTGACTAGAGACTGTTGTTCAGTTTAAGTTCACTGAATAAATGAATGGATGACAGAATAAACAAATCAACTCAGTAGCTTTAGAAACAAGGAAACTGAGAGGTAGTTTAAGAGACTTGTCTAAGTCCACTCTTTGATTGAAAAAAAATAGCACTATAACTCAGATGCCAATTTCATTCAGTGTTCCTCCCCTTCTTACATCTTGATAGCCTTTCCAAAAACTTCTTAGTGTCAATAGCATTAATTTATGACTAAATCTTAATTACATACAACGTCCTGGTAAGAATAAGATGCTATGTTTTTGTTTTTTGTTTTTTTTTTTATTTAAACAAACTATGAAATCTAGAACAGTGCAATTTGAACACAGTAGCCTCTGCCCCATGCCTGAGGGAGACAGCACAGCTTTGGGAACTATGATTGAGTGACAGCCCTACCTATGAAGTAAGTAACCAGGCTGCCCACTTAGCCCTCTTTTCCACGGTTTCTTAAATAGTTGGGTTTTCCTGACTTTTTTTTTTCTTTTTTTCTTTTTCTAAGGTTGGAGAAGTACAGCCAGCTGGCTAGAATCTGCTTCCCATGTGTTCTTAATAACTTTTATTTCCCTAAGGGCTAGCCTATGCTTCTCAAACCTGGCTACACATGAGAATCACCAGGGTAACTTAAAAGAAAAAAAAAAATAAATACCAACGTGTGAACCCATAACCAAAGATTCTGATTAAATTGATCAGGGGTGGATCCTGGGCAACAGTAGGTTATAAAACCTTCCATCTGACTCTGATGTGTGGCTAGACCTGACCATCTCTACTTTTCAATTTTTCAGGAGAAATACCAGAATGGCATGACCTTTTATTCAGTCTGCACATCATTTCTGCACACTACTTCCAGGGCAGGGGATGTTGCATACTCAATATAGACTGACTAGTCAAATGTGGAAAGAATGATGCATTTGAAAAGGTTATTCCTTTCTTCTGTTTTAGGTTGGGAATGTGACTAGTCAATAATGCCTGTGAGGACCAACTGGAAGAGAAGAAATCATTTATTCTTTACCATCAATATGTGACTGTGTCTTGAAATGAATATCCTGGAATCTAATTCAGACTTGATTTTGGAAACCCCTGCCCCTCCCCCCCCCTCCTCTCCTCTGGAGCCTTAGGCATGTGGTCAAAGAATATGAGTAAGGAACAGGGAACCAAGTCCCCTAATTTATCTTTAATTTCTGTTATTTTCTTACTGAACTCCCCTTCTCCTATATTAACTCTCCCTTCCATGGAACAGGTGATGTGAAATAGGTCCTACATCCATGTTAAAAGTTAAAAAGATAATGTTAGTATTTTAAACAAAATAAAAGAACAGCAATAGAAGAGATAATAGCATTTCACTTCACGACAGAAGAGATAATAACACTTTAGTGCTTTAGGCCTGCCTAATTAGTGGTGCTTCTCCTGAGACATTAATTTTGGTGTCAGTGGAGGTTAAGGGAAAGGAGGTTGCAGCTAAAGTGCCAGTGATATTCTGAGGGTTCTGGACACTGAAACCTCAAGTTTATATACACCGAGGGCTGGTGGCCAATTTCACCAACGTGTAAACTGATAAACAGAGAGATCTGATTGCAAATAAAATGCATTGCGTATTTGGCTTAATGACCATACCCTAGAATGAGCGACTAAGAATAGAATCCCGGTCGCCGCAGCCCAAGACCGACGCGGACCCATCTAGCAGGAAACAGCGGCGCGCAGGCCTCTCCTCCGCGACCGCGTGCGGACTGCTTGTCCCGGCCAACTACCACAACTGCACGAATCGACACGGCCCAGAGACGTACCTGCGCACAAAAGTTCTCATGATCCGCCGTGCCACGGGATCTGCGCACCTTCGCCCACATCTTGGCGTTTGTTGAGTGCTCCTACAGGCCCTTCCCCGGCCATAGGCGTGGTCCCCAGACACCTCAGGGATCACTTCCGCCTGGCGCACTGCCTTCTGGGGGAAGCCGCAGGCCGGAAGTCTGACTACGAGGCCCACACTCGCCTGCAGGTCCTCTTGCCCCCTCCGACACCTTCAGCCAATTGCTGAAGTTGCAACCCCTGGGCCTGGCCGATAGCAGCCCCAGTCCTGCCAACCCGTCTCCCGCCACTCCTCGGCCCACAGCATCTTCCCAGAGCCCCAAGCTGTTGCTGTCCTCGCTGACGCCCTCTTTCCACTCGGACAAAGGCATGTAGAGCCCCCACCCCACCCCACCCCCCGGCCAAGGGAACCACAGGTACTGCCATCTGTGCAACATCGAGTTCATCAAGTTCACAGGTACTTCTGTGTGTTCACCTTCATCGTCCCCAAGAAGTGTTGCTGTTCCTCGAAGGCCAGTGAATATGTGAAGTGAGTCACCCAACACAGAATGGACTGGGGGCCACTTTCCATGCACCCCCCCCCCAACTTCTCTATCCAGGAACAAAGGCCAGCTTTCCCACCTGCCGTGCTCTCCATCGCCACCCCCGCCTGGACCCTTGGCACTTAAAGTTCAGTTTGATGAGCACAGCCTCAATAGCCTGGAGTTGAAGGAGCACCTAAATTCCATTAGAATTACTTCGGAGAGTCTCCTCTGTTTATCTGAAACATTCATCGTATTTATTTATTTTTTATTTTTGGAGAGAGAGTGTGTGAGTCTGGGAGAGGGAAAGCGAGACGGAATCTTAAGCAGGCTCCATGCTTAGCCCAGAGCCCAGAGATCATAACCTGAGCTGCAATGGGTTCATTAAAATAAAATTTTCCTTAAGTAATAAGAATAATAAAGAGTTCCAGAATGTAGATATCTATGCACTTTGATATTCTTTTGGTAAAAAAGAAATGTACCCTTGGATGGGAAAGTTTCCAAGGAAGGCTTTTCACCAAAAAGATCAGACTGTGGAAAGAACCACAGACTTGTGTGAGGTAGGAAGAGCAAGAAGAAAAGAGAAGGAAAGCATTTTAAACGTTACTGATACTTCATAGCAATAAGTTGTTTTTATATAGTGTATATCAGAATATTCTTTACAGTAACAAAAATATTTTGTGTACTTTTAAAAGGCTTCATGCATACACTGGTAAAAAAAACAAAAGAGGAAAAAAATGCTGTCGTTTTGAGGAATTATGATGATGATTGTTAATATTTATGTGCCAAAGCAATAACAACAAATGTTATATGGAAGATAACATTGAATTGTAAAAATTTCATGAAATATTATTGTGCTTTTCATATGGACAAGTAAACCTAGGCTTAAATGATTAAATCACATGTCTAAAGTCCTGTAGCTGAAATGTGATACATGCAAAATGCAAAACCAAATTAGTCTTTAGAGTCTGTGATCTTAACCACTCTGTTTTGTGATACTTAGAGCAAAACTTTTCCTAATTTCTGGAGTTAAAGAAGTGGAAAATTATCCAGACTAGTGGCAATGCAAACCATCTGAGAAGGGAGAGTCAGGGACAGGGAGTGTGGCTTTCTGAGAGACAGCATTTCATCACAGCTGGTATTCTTGCGAACCCTAGTAGAGACTCTGTGAAAAAGATTTAACATGAAAAAGATTTTGTTGATACTTCTGTGGAGGGTTGATTAGAAAAAGAAAGATAAGTCAGAACACTATTTTAATAATTAAAATGACATAAAGACATGTGGACTTCATTTATGGTTGTCAAGATTTGTGGAAGTTGGTAAAGGAGAAGAAGTTACAGACAACTCTAAATTTTCGGACTAGTGGACTAAAGAATTATGGTGCCATTGGGAGCAATAGGAAAATTCAGAAGTGTCCATTATTTGATGACAGAAAAAAAAATAATTCACATTTTACTGGTGATAAAATCAAATTGTAAGCAAAGATGTAAGATAGATCTTTTCTTATTCAACTGCATTGTCTACCTGTTCTAGACAGATCTTCTGGGTATGTAGCTGAGAATGTCAACATCAAATTTATATTTTATGGTCTTTGTCTTGTTCTTTGAGGATTGTGTCTTCTCATTTCTTATGCTTATTTCAATAGCTGGATACTACACTGTTATGCCCTGATATTCTGTCTTGTTTCCCACATGTATCCAAGGTCATGGAAACCTGTAACTTAACCCAGTGATTACAGTTTCTAACTAGCAGTAGTTCTTTGGTGCTTTATATATACTTGGGTCTTTGCTTATTGACAGATATGCCTAATTCTCATGGGGCCATATTTTGCCTATCACCCAATATATCACCTTGATAACATTTCCTAGCTAAACTTGATTCCAAAGAAATATCATCATAAGTATCTAACTAGTTTGCAGAGACTAACAATTTCCAGTAGGGCTCATTCTACTGGGCTATAGTCCAAATACATATTTTCTTTGGTTCCCCCGGATATGCAGAATTCCTTAATTTTATTTAATATAGTGGATGAAATGTATTACTATAAATCTATACACGAATAACCAGTATACCATCATGTTTCCTTTCTTTTACTTTTTTTTTTTTTAATGTTTATTTATTTTTGAGAGAGAGACAGTACAAACGGGAGAAGAGCAGAGAGAGATAGATACAAAATCTGAAGCGGATTTCAGGCTCTGAGCTGTCAGCACAGAGCTAGACCATGATGCCTCTTGAGGGGCTTGAACTCACAAACTGTGAGATCATGACCTCAGCTGAAGTCGGATGCTTAACCAACTGAGCCACCCAGGCACCTCTTCTTTCTCTTACTTTTTAAACATGGGTTCAGAAAAAAGGGAAAGTCACTAATTTCAACATTTTTCTTTCTAATTTACTCATGAAAGTCATTCTTATGTTTGACTTGGTCAAATTCATCCCCCATAAGTAATCACTACTGAATTTGCTAAATATGCTTTTCTGACTTCCATATGTTTATACATGTGCACATATGCACTTTGATACATTTATTACATTCATTTATTAGTCTCTTTGTTTACAAATTGGAATCATGCTGCAGACATTGGTTTGGGTTTTTTTTTAACCACTTAATAAACTATAATGTGTAGCTTTAAAGATCAATACATCATACTATTTAGTAGTTTTATTAAACTTTGAATGGAGGTACTGTGATCTTTTTTCTCATTTTATTGTTTACTGACACTGAAGCTGCAAGTAATGTTTGCAACAAGTATTGCTCTGCATGAGGGTATAGGGGTGTGTGTTTTTGTATATGTGTGCTCTCAGGCTAGTATAAGTGAATAATAGACTCTGAGAAGTTGAATTATTGGGGCAAGGAATAGGCAAATTTTAAAATTATATACATATTCCCAGATTACTCTTCAAAACCCATATCTACTCAAATATTTATGAGTGACCTCTTTAATACATCTTTCCCACCACTGAATGTTATCCATTTTTTAATGTAATTAAGTAGCTATGTTTTAAAAGTTTAATTCTGAGGGCACCTGACTGGCTCAGTCTGTTAAGTGTCTGACTCTTGATTTTGGCTCAGGTCATGAATTCATAGTTCTGAGATTGAGCCCCTTATCAGGCTCCTCCCTCGGTGTGAAACCTGCTTAAGATTCAACCTCTCTCCCTCTCGCTTTGCCCCTCCTCTGCCTACAAACCATGCTTGTGGTTTCTCTGTATCAAAAAAAAAAAAAAAAAAAAAAAAAAAAAAAGCTTATGTTAAATTAATGAAGGTGAGGTTCTTTTTGTGTTTACTATTTACATTTCTTTTAACATTAATTTGCAACTTCATTTCCTTTATTCATTTTTAGTAAAGGAATTTTGCTGAATTCTTTTCAAAATTATTTACTAAGTTTTATTTCACAGATTTTACTAAATATTTCATGTGTTATTATTTATTAATATGTTACTGACATCTTTGCTTTGGTGTAATTTGTTAAGATTAATTAAATTTATTCTTCGTTTGAATATATTTTAAACTTTATGATTTAAACAATTGTTATTGGAATGATTAAAAATGTATTAAAACAGCCACAGTTTTCTTTTTTGGACTACAATTAAGCGAAGACTACATGAAGACATAGACTTCATTTATCCAAATGCACACACAATTGCAACAAACTCACAACACACACATACTAGACTTTAAAAACATGCAAAATATGTCAGCCTTATAGTGTCTGCTCTTAATCACTGCAGTATGTTAAGGGAAATTTTGAAAGTGCTTAGCAGACATAATTGAAGTACTTACAAATAATTTAAAACTTGAGATTGTGCTTGCCAGAAGGACTGTTTTATACAGTTCTTCATGTGCTATATTTTTAAGGCATGGCTGATTTTTAGCAATATATGGGAGGCACGTATAAACAAGTATACCTACTATGTTGTCTTACTACAAAATAGTTTCCAAACTTTATACTGATTATAAATATAGTGATAATTGGAGTTTAGGAACTAGATTTATAGTAATAATTAGACTGCAGTGAATATATTTTTAAAAATGAGAACTGAGGAGTTAAAAAATAAATAGGAAATGAGAAATTGTAATTGGAGAGAGATGCCCAGGAAGCAAAGCCCAAATCACAAAAGGAATCAGGATAAATGTATTTCTACAAGGGAAAATTTCCTTGACTCATTTTCTCATCTTTCTTTCAGCCCAATCTCTCTTCATTCCTCTACAGAAATAAAATCAATGAGTAGAGTTGAATAGGTCTATCCCCATATTTTAATAAAAATCTATACCATTATTTTATTATTATTTTTTTCCTATGAGTAAATTAAATCAGCTAGATATTTCTTTCATGACTCCAGAGCATCTTGGGTAATGAAAAAGACATCTCTAAAAGAGTTTCAGAGGAGATAGTTCTTACTGTCAGAGAATTATAACCAACACAAATGTCCCTTGTCTTCTAGGTGAATAGTTGGTATGCAATCAGGTTAAACATTATGTATATTAGAATCAATCAATATGTTGAATTGATGAATGGATATCCAACATTTATTGCATATTAATGATATACGAAATACGATGAGCCAAACCATGAAAGTTTCTTTCATGAAACCCAAATATATTTTAGCAAAAACACAATTCAGTTTATAACAATAAAGAATATGATTGTATAAATAATGGGCTTTGGGTTCTCAGATATCCAGATTCTTGTCCCATCATTGCACTTAGTAGCTATGTGACCTTGGGTGATTTATTTGACCTCTTAATTATGTTGTCAGGGATTATTTCCTTCCATCTTTCCAGAAAGTATAATAAGAACACCAAACTAGAAGTAGCACTGTGGCTTGGTTTCAACTCCTTGCTTCTTATACCTACTCACTTCAGTGAAGCTTCAGTTTCCTCATCTATGAAAAAAGGAGATTTGATCAGGAAATTTCTTAAGCCTCTTCCATATTTTAGGACACAAAGAATCTTTGTCTTCACACTCAATTTCCCATCCACAAGGTAAAATTAGGTTTCTTAGTGCTCGCTCATTCCTTTATTCTTAAGTTCTCTTGCAAGGCTATATATTGGAATTAAGGAGCAAAATACGTTGAATGTTTTAAAGTTTCAAAATCACTTATTTACTGGAAACAAAAAACCTTTGCCATTAGATTTCAAACACGATAGGAGTTGTTTTAAGAAACACAGTCTACACACTACAACTTATTTCCCAAGGGCTCTGTGAGAAAGACCTCTCCTAAAACTTACATTTTTGGAAAAGGTGGAGCTGAACTCTCATCTGTAGAAAACATCTGTCAGAATATATGACTCACTGCCAGAAGCCCTCTTTTGGAATCCTTTCTTAATAACAACAATGTATAACAAAAAGATGCTTTGTATTTCAGTGATGCCTTTATTTAGACCACCTTTCCAATCCATTTATAAACATGTCTGAGAAACACAGGCTATGTCTAGACTACCAAACACAAAAGACACCAAAATTGAACAGGAAGAGTGTTATACTATTGCTTAACTACTGTAGTCAGTAGTCTGAATATTCACATTAGTTTATGCCATTAATAACTTTCATAAAGACTATAGAAAAAAATTCAAATTTTATGGCAGCAGATTTCATTTAAATTTTCCTCAATAGGTTTAGACACATGTAAAACATCTTTACTAACTGTGATGGGTGCTGGTAGCTCAAAGAAATGTAGGCTATGCAGGACTTATCCACATAAAAAGGTAAAAATCAAAACAAAAGTGTTAAAATCTTTCACCCATTTTAAATTGTGTTATAGTCTAATTATCTGATTATCGAATTAGGTTAATTATTTATATATTCAAGACAAAATTTCGTTCTCAGATATAGGTCATGCAAGTATTTTCCCCAGGCCTTTGCTTGCTTTTTTTTTTTTTTTTTTCTTTTTTGGTAACAGTGTCTTTTGAAAATTACGTGTCTTGTAATTTCATATAAATTTTAGAAACAAATTTTTAATTTCCAAAATAAAGTCTACTGAGATTTTGATTGAGATTGCATTGAATCTAAGTAAGAATTTGGAGAGAAATGATGTCTTAACAATACAGAGTCATTCAAATTATGAATATAAGAAATTTCTCCATTTTTCAGATCTTTATTTTATCCCAGGTAGGTTTCCCAATTTTCAGTGTATAGAACTCACATGTCTTTTGTCAAATTTCTACCTAAATATTTCATATATTTGATATCATTAAAAGTGGCATTATTTTCATAATATCAATTTCCAGTTGTTCACTACTAATGCAATAGAAATATAATTAATTTTGTAAATTGATCTTATATCCTTGCAAT